GAACCTTAATTACAAAAAGTAATCAAATATTTTGTAGTAGTAGTCTGTTTTTAAAAGTCTGTCCTAGGCATTTAACCTATTCATCTCAGTTCATTTTAGTAGTCTAGTGTTGAATTTAATTCTTACCAGTATCCTGTCTTTAAAACTGCTCAGAAGAATAGGTTAAATGCCTAGGACAGACTTTTAAAAACAGACTACTACTACAAAATATTTGATTACTTTTTGTAATTAAGGTTCACTTACAAAAAATTTGACTTGTTTTTTTTTTTAATTAGGAATAAGGCGAACATCTCACTTTATCACTGATTAAACTAAACTAAACTAACCTAAACTAAACTGGATAGTCATTGGTCAACCTGACTTTATGAACTTAAGTTGAAACCTAAGTGTAAACTTTCTTGGGGAGGAGATGTTCAAACACTACACACATGCAGCACACACTTTTCTTTTTAATTTCGACCTTTTTTAAAGCATTGTAATAAAGAAGTAACCCTCTAAAACATACCGGTTGGGATGGAGGAGCAGAAATACTCCTTTTCATGCACACACTGGAATCTTGAAATCCTCATTAATCCACAAATCAAGAGAAGCTCAAACATAACTGCAAAAAACACAAACCCCACATGCTTAAACAAGTGTTTTGTTTTGCTTTGGGGTTTTTTTTTTTTGTTTTTTTTTAATTAAGCCACCCTCGTATTAAATTCATTCTATATACATACCTAGTGTTAGGGTAAGTCTTGCTGATAGCTTTTCCTTTGTTCTAAATCATTTTCAATCTCAGTTAACTAAAATGGAGCAGACACTAACAGAATTCTTGTAACACTTGGATTTTAAAGAGTAAAAAAAACGTAGCTGATAACTAAACAAATGCAAACCCTCCACAGTGAAGAATCAAATGATGGACTCCAAAGAACTGCATATATAAATACATTTAACTCTCTACCCTCAATTCATTATGTAACTGCGGCTGAGATTCAATTCACAGGTAACTACCCCAATATTTTATCAGTATCTATAGCCCGATAATCCATGGTTTGCATATCATTTTAACAGTGCAACATTTTAAGTGCAGTACAAGGAATGTACTTACATTTCATGATTACGGTACCTTCTTTTTATCTAAAAAGTTGCAGTCGACTTTTGCTCTTCCCAACCCTAGTAATTTTTGCATGACAGCCTGTGGGTGGGTAAAGGAATATAACCATGCATGTGGGGTTCTTCTGTCAAAAGACAAGTCAAGACCTGTTAGATTGTCTTCATGTCTCAGTTTCCTCTGTGAATCGCAGCGGTGGGCTAAGAACGCAGTCATCTGGATGACCAGTAGCGTGTATCTGCATACTATCTCCAAGGCTTCGTCACAGTCAGTAATATTTAACCATTTCATGGCATACATTATTCAAACTAAAACCACGAGCACTATTCTCAAAACATTTTTAGGAATGTATGACATGAAAAAGATTCATCTGGCATCAGCGGTTTATTAACCATTTTTCATATTTAAGATTCAGTCTGTGCATATTGAACCAAAGCGTACAGTAGCTTAGAAAAGCAGTTGAATATTGAGATGATTTTTGCTTTTGATGCAAAACAAATCTGGACTCTTCTCGATACGATGTTAGGACAGATGTATTGTCCTTTCTAATGGAGTCCTTGGTTCAGCAAGGAAACTTATGGTTACTCCACATTGTTCTTACACCAAGTGCATTAAATACATGTTTGTAGTAAATCCCCCCCACCCCCATACACAATAAGGCAGCAAAAAGAAGAAATGATGACCTCTAAACAAATCCCTTAAAGGAGATTTTGAATGAATGCTACACATCTAATGACTAGATCTTGATATGAGTAGACAAAGCATTTCAGCCTTTTTTAAGGCATTGTTCTCTACCTTTAAGTCTTATAAAATTTACTTACTGATCTTAATCTGAACTGTAAATTGAAGTTTAGTTACAGGAACAGTGCTTTGAGCAGCTCGCACTCTTCACTACCCTCACCTTCAACTGTATCATTTATATACACATCTTATCTCACCAGACTTGCAGCATTACATTTTTAAATTGTTCAAAGCTGTTAAACAGTATGGTCGACTGGGAGCCCAATACTAAAGCCATGGGATTAATAGGGAATTTTCAGATATGAGCCCAACCTGTAAAGTACTGCGTTTGGTCCTACGACTAGGGCAGCCCGTAGGCATTTTGGGCCATATCCCACTCTGGATTTAGGTACCTCCAGCCTGATTGAGTCCCTAAAATTCCCTGAACACATCTACGTTTTTCATATACTGTCATCCCAGCCTATAAATGAAGTCTCAAAAAACAGTGAGGCCAATGGCATTTTGTATTCAGGGTTTTTCAGGAACTCAAACAGGATGTTACAAGATTGTGCTTAGGTGCCTAATAGGTACAATATGATCTCATCCTTTAAGATAGTGTTCTAAATAAAAGGAGGTGCAGATTTTTTTTAATGAACATTACTCATCTTACTGGTTACCAGTTACCAAATGGATACTTGGATGGGTAGGAAAACCTGAGATTATGAAGGTGAAAAATCACTGTGAAGTAGAACAAACTTGTTTTAATTCCTATTCTGGAATTATCATCTCCAGGGGATGAGGACTCCTAATAGTCTGAGAAGCCTGCTCTTGGTTCCTTGACATAAAAGGAAAAAAAAAATCAATTTATTGTGGACCTCCAGCTAGCACCCTTCCCTACTCTGCTAACAGTCTAGTGCAGAGCTTGAATGGATTATATGTTGATCTGCTCAAAATAAGCCAGTATTTTCATCACCACCATTTTTCTACACTAAGTTTTTATTCCACTGGAGATATTATAAAAACAGACATCCAAAGATATGCCAACTACAGATGGAACACATTGCACATAAATACAGAATACACTAAAGTAAAAAAGTTTGAAAAAAAATTACAGCATCAAGAGCTGACACTTTAAAGATGTACATTTCTCTTCTTTACAAAAGTGCAAGACTAAATGCCAGAGTATTGATCTAGTTTGCATTTTCTCACCCCAAAAGGCAATCTAAGTGGCATCTTTTCAACTTGAATTAAAATAGGATCAGAACCTCTAAAGGATGCCTAAGCATTTTCTTTGGGGGTTTTGTTCTTTTTAGGGTTGGGGCTTTTTGCCAATTGGCTATCCGGAGGGTAGGTGTATAAAATGGCAAACGCTGAGCAAAGACCACCCTGATGTACGAAGATGTTTAAGGCCAATTTTAAAATGAAATTATCAGGGGGGAAAAATTCAAGTACTTATCAATTCCCAGATGTAACATTATGTTTAAAATGCAGTTTAGAACAAATGACATTCTTCTCTTTCCCCCATCTCAGATCCCAAGGTGCCTGTACACATTTCCAATTGTTCCTACTCCTTGCACTCCCACAGATTGGCCCGCGCATTTCACCACCTCTGATCTGCAGACTCGGAGCTAGTGCCCCTTTCCTTCCTGACCTCCCCAGGTCAATTCTTCTGATGCAATAGGTGTCTTTGTAACAACAGTCAGAAACAATGGTCATTTTGGGGACATTTCTTGTACACAGGAAGTATTAACAGAAACAGAGATTCTGATTTGGTGTTGCCTCAAGGGATGTGGCCAAAATTTATGATGCAGTGCAAAAATGGGTTGGCAGAAGTTCTCCTTACCATGGGCAGCAAAGTTCAGCCTCCGTGAGAATATTAGGAATGCAGCACCTGTTTTGGAGGTGGACTGTCTGTCAAGGAATCATCTAAAGGAGATCTGCCTTTTGCCTTTGGGGGAAAGACTTTCAGGTATAAAGAAAGGGGAAAAACTGTCCATCTTAAAAAGAACTACTTCAAAGCACAAGAGTTTGAATTAGTTTGATAAAAGTACTGGGGGGAAGACTTATGGCATACTTACTGTATATTCTCCAAGTAAATCGATGCATTAAGTACATGCGCCATAATCAGTGCCACAATTCAAGCACACAGGACAAGGCTAAAGTGCAATTTTGAAATTCTGTATCAAAGAGGGGGGAAAAAAAAACCTAACTAATTTAAATCTCAGGAGTCAACAAAATCCTGTAGCCAGGCATCAAAACTGAGTCGGAAATCTGTGGATCCACTCCTAGTTCTACATTGACTCATTGTAAAACTAGAATCTGTTTCAGTTTTCTAAAAAGTAAAATGATGACAGGACACTTAACCACCTTAATGGATTTAAATTAAATGTGTCAAAGAAGAAATTGGGGGGGAAAATGCTGTTGGGTTTGCTGAACTCTCCTCTTATTTTGGTTAAATTCTAGCAGCTTAAAAGCACTTATCTAATAATTTATTAAACAAATATAGGTAAGTCTATTAGGAACCTTTACCTACGAGCAAGTAGAAAAGCACATCTTTAAAGCATACAATTAGTTCTTTTGACAGGATGATGGGTCAAAATAACAAAATTACACATGGAATAAAAAAAGGAAATCAGTTAATGGTTTTTATTAAATTTCAGTGCTTTGATAAAATAAATATGGTATATAATATCAAACAGTGAGAAATAAAGCACAAGCATGGAAAGCATGATAACAGAAAAATTACACTCATGATGGTGTTTAATACTTAGCACTTTAGAAATCATAAAGCCTTTAGTTATTTACAGGCAGCCAGCTATCTAACAAAATGTACAATATGTCGCAGCAGCCTATTTAAAAAGTATCCAAAAGGGGAAAGAACTGAGAAGATTGCAATGGAAGACCTTCACTTTCCTCTACTGAACAGTTTATTATGTACCCTATTTCCCCCTTCTGTACAAAACTCACTTTTCAACTCCCATTATTTTTAAAATTTAATAATTACACTGTCTCGTACTTCAGCGCTTCAGTTTCTCTCTAGAACCGGTGTAGTGCCATGGGCACTGCGAGATACATATTCAAGTAACACTTCAAATAAAAGTAAACATGTGCAAACCAAAGATATAAACCTACAAAACCCTCAGGTAGTCGTGTCAAAGAAAGATGTAGCTGGACCGTACTGACAGATAAGTTGCACTGTAGTTCAAGAATTAGAGTTACTTTAAAGCAGGGGAAAAAGGGGAAGTGTCACATGAAAGAATGGACAAGAACTGCAAATATAATAAACCCTGCTGCCCCAGAAATAAAAAATCTGATCTGCTGAAACACACACAGATTTTCAGGTCATAACTCAAGATTTAATATTTCAACATGAAAAGAAATCAAAGCCATTCGACTTTTTTTGGGCTTTTGAAACGAATGCAAATTTTTGTTTAAAAATTGCTTTTAAATGAGAAAAACAAATCAATATATATATTAATATAATCACCCCAAAATTTAAAAAAAACCCCAAAAAACCAAACACACTCCATTTTAGAGCATGCTGCTCATTCAGAATAAAGACAGGACAAAGAAAGTAGAATTACATTTCATGACAGAATAAAAACATTACAATTTGTGATCATTAAGTGCACCATCGTACAGGAGTAACGTGCTCAGCGTGGAAACGTTCTACATCTACCAGAATCTGTCTTTATTAAAGCAAAACATCCTCGGACACTACCTGGAACTGAAATCAATGACAACTGTGCTCCATTCAGCTTGCCTCAAGTTTAGACCAGGCATATTCCAGCTAGTAGCACCTGTATGCCTCTTCATGATTGTGTTTCAGAAATATTCATATTTAAATTCACCGTTATTAATTTTTTTTTTTTTTTTATAAAAGACCCTGCAATCTTTGCAGTGAACTGATACTACAAGTAAACCTTGTTCAGAGCAGCACAGGCTGGGGGGTTTTCAGAAATCTGAGAGCTGGACTTAATGTTGGCAGTAAATACAGTACAACAATATGATATATTATACAGCTCCTCAAAAAAAAGAGTCTCAAAAGGACATTTTCCCCCCTAAAGGCTATTTTTTTTCCAAAAGGAAAAAAAAAAAGTCATCACCCAAGATCTGTTCAATGCTTCTACTGAAGTTCAGAGATTGCCAACTTTAAAAGCGACACGGAAAGAGGAAGGAATGAGATGGAGAGGAAACAAAACTTAATTATTCCCAATTTGTACCAATGCAAACTTCAAGTAAAAGGAAATCCACTTGTTATAGATCTTGCTACATGCACTGTCTCTCTTTTGAAAGCCTCAGTAGTTAGTGCCGGGTGTAACAGCAGATTCATCACTCTCCAAAAACACTGGCATTGTTCCTTCATTCTTATTTACTTGCATCCACAGATTTTGTTGAGAAGCTTCTTAAAAAAACTGGTTATGGTTCTGCACATTTCATACCAAACTGGAGCAAAATGGTAAACATTTCTTCTTTCAACACAATCCCATTCTTCTCCCCAAGAATTCAGTGTCATTTCCGAGTCTGAGTCTTCTTTGGCACTGCAGGTCGCTTGGCTTGCCACAAATGGTTATGGATTGTGAGAGCATCCACGCTGACGGACATGGTTTTGGCTGGAATCACGTTAAACTGTTTTCTGTCTGAACTGTATTTGTAAAGCTTGTCGATCATTTTCTTGGTGATGCTCTTTGGCCCTGTTCCAGTCAGCTTATAGATCTCTTCTGTGTCAGGGTAGTAGCAGTAAAGTGCTCTAAACTGGCAACCAGCATCACGGAACAAAATGATGTAGTGGTTGGCATCACACTTCTCAAGTTCCTATATTTGAAGGAAGACAAATATGGACATTCTTCATAATAAATAGTGCAAAACAGTATTGGGCTATCAATACATTAAGGACAAAGTTGCTTAACAACCAAATTTTTGAAGTAATAAAAGTTTGACTTGAATCTTCTGCACTTTTGTGATGAACTAATATTTCCTGAAATAACATTAAGAGAGCCAGCAGACCCCGATGTGCGAGACAACACAATGCTCTGCCAGAGTAAGGAAAGGGAGAACTCAAGGCACTGAAAGCAACCAACAATATTAGATAGAGAAGCCTTCAAGGTGAAATAAAGGAAAAGAAAGCAAAATAGGAATATAACCTGTACCCCTGTCCACCTTTTCACTACATTTATGCTTCAATTTGTTTCTAATTTGACATCACCAAGTTTTGCAGACTCCTCCAAAATTCATATTACTAAGGGGGCCAAAGGAAAGCCTTGCAATACATGAGTTAGTGACCTATTGAACTAAATTTCTTCTGAAGTTGATATTGGTGGCATAGAAACTCCATACTGCAATGGGACCTTAAGAAAACATAGCGAGCAGATGCAATAATTACGTTAGACCTACTGGACTGAAAACATGATACTCCCTTGCTGGTCTCACACACACAGACGCACACGCAGACCATGACACTGAACTTTCTGGTTTAATGTGGCAAGAGAACCAAAAACAACAGGGAAAAGGTGATCCTGAATATACATTTAAAAAAAAAAAAAAAGATGAGTGCCTTTGGAAGCCCATCTAAATGAAATCTCATTGCTCATCACATAGATTGCTCTTGTAATGGCAAGTGTTTAAATACTTAATACTCTCCATAAAAAGCTATGTTACAAAGCCTTGGAAAACTACATCTACTGATTTAACTGAGTGGATTGAATGATTAGTCACACCAGACATTTCCAGGAGATGAGAAAGCAAGTTGGTATAATCTGTGTCAGCCAAAGAAACTCAGCAACAATGGCCAAAACACAAACAATGAAAAAATTAAATCTCCCACATTTATTCTGAATTATTTTTCTTCCTTTATACTGTACTTCAGCTCGAAATAACTCTAACAACACTGGCTTGTTTCCCTTTCTTGTACTGCTTCTAGTACGTCTTATTTTGAGACATAAATGCATCATAGGAACAATATCAGAATTTCCCTTTGAACTGAACTGCAGATTTCTCTTCAACCGCTTTAAATAAGACAGCCTCTCAACTAGTCAATATTAATATTATTTTCATATGCACATCACATCAGAACCCTTAAAAATGTGGTTCGGGGGCATTAATTTTATTCTAAAACTAAACTGCTTTTAGAAAGCAAACTATTCTCTGCAGTGGTTCAAAGACATGCACAAGTCTAAAATAAAAACAGATTTTGTCATATTAAGACATTTGCTTTATTATATATACTGTACTTTGACAAACTTCTGAAGCAAAAATTATCTTGCAGATAAAAAAAGTTTAAAGACTTTTAAGATCTTATTCTTATGCATCATCTTTCAAAATACACCAAAGTTTTACTTTAGTACTTCACTTAAAAAATTAAACTATTTTGTTCACATATTTCAGCTTAATTCCCACTTTTGCCTGACCTTCCCCCATGCAATATGTACATGCACTTCCAAAATAAGTTGTTCAAGTACAAGCCTCAACACACAAAAATACCCCCAAATATGTGGTGTGAGAGACAACACTGGGTTAATGAAAACATGCTTTCCTTCAGAGGCATGTTAAGGGAAGAGCATTTAAGATAACACATTACTGAAATAAGCATCAGGCATCATCATTTATTGCAAGTGCACCCCAAACCCTGCAGTTTTAGTAATTACTTACCTCCAATATTGAGTTCTTATGTGGTTCATTCACTTTTCCAGCCAGACAGCAGTGGGATATAGCATTGTGAATGATTGGTTTATTTGACTTGCTGCTGGGTTCTTTAAACAGCTTTGGACCTAAAGAAGAAAGACATGAACACACGGGTTACTTGCTGTGTATTATCAATAGGTATCTTTAATATCAATTTTTTTAAAATTTTAATTCTATCCATATCTATGAACTAAACAAGTTTTACACTGATGAATAATGTTCAACACTTTTTTGATGTAAAACACACCAGAAAAGAAGCAGTGATTTAAAAAATAAAAAATTAAGTGAGCAGTGAAGTGAATTTAACTAGAAGAACGCTCATTATTCCATGTATTGAGGGACTCAGTCAAGCCAACGATCTCCTTCTGAGCAACCACTTTCTACTTAAAAGCGCCTTTTCCATTCTGTCAACAGGCAGCCTGGTGGCATTAATTCAGTGGGTGGGCAGACAGTACTAGGAAACTTAAACAACCAAGACAGGTTTGTATCAACAGATGAATTAACCAGAGTCAAGAAGCTGCTCCTTAACTAATCACAGTAAGGAGTTTTCCTTCCTAGTGTCACCTCCCCAAAACTGGAAGCGTTTTGGAACTGGTTATAGAAAGGGTGATGTATTTAATGTGAGAAGTGGTTTACGGTGTTAGTCTTAAGTCAGGCAGAAGGCAGGGTAGATTTGCAATTTATGGACCAACTAAATCAAGCGATGTATAGCATAAGCTTTTGTAAGCAGGGGGCCTACTTCATCAGATGCTGTGAAGGGACTGCAGGAAGCAGAGCTTCTAACAGAAAGCTGTGATTAGAATACAGATAGGGAAGTGGGGAGGAAAGAGATGGGGGGGAACACCTGAGAGAGGCAAGGTAGGTAGGAGAGAAAAAACACCGTTAACCCACTGAAGGACACAGGGGTTGTAGAAGCTAATCCAGGTAATGGGATTAATCCATTGGCTTGATTTAGACCGGGGTGGACCATTATTTCAGCTGGAGGACCACTTAATGAGTTTTGGGGACCTGTTGAGAGCCATGTCTATCCATCACCATCTCGCCATCCTTCCTTCCTTCCAGAATCTGGCCGAAGCTGTAGTTTGCCAGGAGCCCCAATGCTCAACTGTGGACCCAGGCAGGAGCTGGGTTCTGGAGGGAGGAGGGAAGGCGGGGAGAGAGAGAGAGAGACGAGAAGAGAAACGGTGATGCTGCTGCCTGCCCACCTGGTGCAGTAGAAATGCCTGCCTGTGCCCACAGCTGACGCCAGTGGCAAATTCTGCATAGGAGCTTCCATGATGCTGGGAGGGCAGTGGATCAGCTGTGGACATCGCCTGCAGGTTCTTCATTTGGGCTCCTGAACCTGCTGTGTCCACAGCTGATGCCGCCACCTGCCCACTATGTGGAAAGCCCTGGCTGGGTCCACAGCTGACGCATGATACTGCGGGACCCAAGCAGTCCTCCTAGCCCACCTGGCAGTACGTGGCAGCCAGAGCAGCATGCTGACAGATCCAGGGAGTTGGCAGATGTCCACCCATGGGCTGGATCAAATCTGTTGGTGGGCTGGATCGGGCCCACAGGCCATATTTTGCCCACCCCTGGTTTAGACCATACTTAACAATCCAGATTATAGGCAATTTATTTTTCCACAATTTCTTGTTCACATTAATTTTTAAAAGTTGTTGTCTGCGAGGAGCCACTCCAAGATCAGTGTTGGAAAGTCCAGAGAGGTTAAAATGTTCTGCCACAGGCTTGTGTGTCATTCTGGAACCGATGTCAGATTGGTGTTCATTCACTCCAACGCACAGAGATTTGTCAATGTAGACAGCAAAGGGGCACTGTGAGCATGTGATAGCATATATAACATTAGTAGATGCACAAGTAAATGAACCTCGGATATTATAATCCATGTTATTTGGCTCGGTGCCGATGGGGTCTGCACTGATGATGGGGCACAAATGGCACGTGGGTCCAGGGCATGGTCTGGTGCCTTGGTAAAAATAGAAGCTAGGTAGTCCATTGCTGGAAAGACACCATTTGACAGTAGGGGGCTGCCTGTAAGCCAGATTTTCTGCCATGGTGGCCTTCAGATGATAGCCATTTTCCAGAAGGGACTAGAGGTCATTAATGATGTGCATAAGGTGTTAAAGCTGGAGTCTCGGGGTTGGTACTGTAACAGGTGGAGTGGGATCTGAGTCTGGCTCTGCTGCTTGAATGACTATGGTTTTAGGATTGTACTGTGATTGTAGGAATCCTTGCTCCAGATCCTTATGGTTTGCTTCCCAGTCAGTGGAATCAGAGCAGATACTGTTGTAACGTAGAGCTTGGCTGCAGATGATAGATCTATCAATTTGTAAAACATTTTATACAATATGTGAAATATTCTCTACATCTGTAATCCAGTGGCTGAATTTAAAGCTGCTATTAATTAAAGTTTCAGTGCACTAACAGGCCCAAGAAAGGTTCCCAGAAATAAGAACTCAGCACAACACAATCCACCACATTTTCATGACATTTAGCACTCTGAGCTAGTAATAACATAGAAATGACAAAGCTAAAGAGAAATGACCTACCTGTGTATTCTGCCACTGAAGCAATTGAGGATGCAGTTGAAGCGTTTTCCCAGTCTCGCTCTGTGTTCCTGCTTGGATTCCTGCTCAGTATCGGTAAGGATTCCATTGATTCAACTCTGAACAAAGGGTAGATGCCATATTTATATTTTACTGAACATAAAATGGTTTACCAGACAGCCACTCAGGAAAACTCTTTCCCCTCACCCAACCACATTACTTAGCCATACTTTCTATCATCCCTACTTCAAAATGAACCCAAGGTAAAGTGTACTGTTAAAAGCAGTTCAAGATGTAAATGAGACTGAGGAAGGCTTCTCTCTACTAGTTACGTCCACCTATTAGCCACTTCAAAAAATGAAGTAGTATTTAATCCCAACCACATTTCATAACAGAGGCTTTATTTTTAATTGTTTACCGCTGGGATGGAGTGCCACCAGAATGTACGCTTTCGGGTTCAGTTGTTGCTGCTGATGCCAAAGACAGACTGGAACCGGACTGAGCACTGCTTAAGTTATCAGCTACCAAAAAAAGAAAAAAGCAAGCATGGTGTCTGACTTCGTTTTAGCACATCTCCAGACTCAAACAGAGTGAAATGAAACAAACAAATCCAACTTACGCGTGGAAGAACACTTTGTCCCCGAATCGCTGTATGACTCTTCCCGATGAACAGACTTTGGCCTAGGTTTCTTGGGTTTTGATTTAGGTTTTCCAAGCCCTTGCTCTTCTAATATCTGCTGCTGTTTTTTCCTCAAATACTCTTGTTTGATGAGTTCCCTTCGAGCCTTCTCTTCTTCTTTCCTTATTCGGTCTTCTTCAGCTTTGCGGCTAAAAGGCAAATACGGCTTTCAGAGGGTATGCCTACACGTTCAATTCATGCGCTTTAGGTGATGGGCGTTCAATCAAGTACCGATATACAAGCAGGGAGACTGCTCCTAAACACTCTAATTCCAGTGTGTCAGAGCAGATTTGATTCATCAAGTGCGGCAATTACCATGCTCCAGCAACTGCGTGCGTCTGTGTATTAGTGTCCCTTCACTTCAAAATGGCAGCAGGGCACTTTATCTGAACCACCCCCACCATTATTTTGAAGCATGGGGATGCTGATACATGAGATATTTTGGGTGCTCTTCGAGTCGCTCCAATTAAAGTGCCCCTTGTCTTCCCTCCCAACTCCTGGACCACAGGTATAAATGCCCCTTATTGTGAGGTACTAGAGAAAGACGCATTAACCTATTTTAATGTGCATTAGCTAGAGCATAGTTTTTTTGTAATCCTTTAATGCGCATTAATATAGGCTAATGTGCATTAAAGCATGCAAGTAGACGCACCCACAGTATGTAGCAGTTTGCTATTTTTCATCAAAAAGCGTAAGTTTAAAAAAAAAAAATTCCTTTCCACTGTACTAATGTTATGTTTACCGGGCTTCATCTCTTTTTTGTTCAACTTCAGCTTCCAACTGCTGTTTTCGGAGCCGAGCCTCTTCAGCTTTGCGTTGCTGTTTTAAAAGGAATGCTGCACGCTTTTTTGCTAGTTCATCTTCTGCTTTTTGTTCATCCTGCAAATGACAATTCAGATAAGTTAGAGAACTCTGGTGGGGACAAAGGAGGGAATGGAAAAGTTCTGAAGGTCAAAACTGAAAACTTTTACAAAGCTCATTTCTTTGCTACCAGAGCCTGAAAGACGAAGTATAAACTACATTTAAATTGTCTGCTACATGAATAACTTAGCAGGAAAACCTCGTCAGCGTTCTAGTGTTCATGTAGGTCAGCCAAGGAAGTTGGGAAGAGTGAATCTCAATCTCAGTTCAGTGTAGTTTTGTTAACACTGGCATGAAATATAGGGACCATTTGAAACTGCAGCCTATGCTGTATGGTGCGATTGCTATGCTGACCAGGGTATCCAGTATCAGTAACTATTCTATTCTAGGAACATACTAACTCAAGCCAGTTACTACCAACTAGATTATATAAAAAGGTAGAAGTCAACTTCACTCAAGTGTAAATAGTCTACTCCGACTCTAACTCATTTAACTACAACTGAATAAAGAAACACTGTTTAGTTGCCAGCTTGAGATATTTGCCATAATCACCACGATCCGGAAATGCAAGCATATAAAATATTCTTACAGATCCTGTGAATTTTAAACAGCTGCAAAGGATATTACATTATTTGAAAAATATTTAGTGCTTCTGCAGTATCAGAGCACAAGCATAATAGAACTTCAGTAACGTGCCCTTCCCCTGCTCAAAGCCAAGCAACAAAACAAGAAAGGCCTATTAGATTACTTAGATTTAGGATCATTGGCATAGAAACTAACTTTTTTTTGGTGCCTAATACAGTAAGATCCTTATGCAGAACAGCTAGTGAAATAATGAGCACAGGATAAAAAAACACCAATCCCTTTGTCACAGACATCAAGATTTTGAAATCTGGTTTCTTTCCTATTTAGTACAAAAACAGGAAATTCTCCATGAAATACACTTACTACCCTCTCTCTAACTCTACTGGAAGTCAGAGATCCTAGGAGCCCCAATTCTGAGGCAGCTGGACTAGGAGACTGGATGTCTGTGCTGCCAACTGGCCAGCTAAACCTAATCTCTTTGCTCCCTGTCTAGCAGGTTTCAAAGCATGCCTAGAATGATGAGTTTTGTGGGTAACGTGCTAGGCTCCACTGAAATGATTTATCTGAAACACACGTGGTCCAATGGAACATGGAGTTTTCAAGTAATAGGCAAAACCAGTTGGTCGTAATTTGCCTGACCAACAACTGTATATGTTGTCTAACACACCAGGCAAGGTGCAGAAGCAGGACTTACTTCTGGAAGTGTTAACAAGACTCCAGAAAACGAAGAGCAGAAAAGACCAATATAGAAAAAAACAGATACTCTTCAATAAAACAAACAAACAAACAAAAACAACAAGGAACAGAGAAAAGGATGTGGAGCTATTTCATCACAGAGCCAGTGGAAATAAAAGAGCATCTTACGACATTTGTTAGCTGATGTCAAGGTTTTCTCATTTTCTTTAGTTGGGGGTGGCATGCTAAGCTTTTCTGCAATACCTGAATTTATTCCTACTCAAAACCAGCAAATTCCACCTCTTTATCCTTTGCGTGTTTGCCACTATTTGGTGCATGGGAAATATTACAAGTCAGAGTTATCACAGATCATCAACTGAATACTCAAACAATTCACAAGTTACAAGAAGCATTTATGCAGGCTTTACGCTATATTGGAAACAATACTTTTTTGTAGAGCAAATAACACAAGACAAAAGCGTAGTGAGGGATAAGATTTCACATGATAAGATTTAAGAACAAATTGTTTTAGTGGCTGCTTAAATTCATAAAAGTTGTTTTCTATTATTTCTTTGCCAGACAACTTCAAGCCTCACACCCCATAAAGAGCCTTAAATAAAAAAAACTAAGTATATACTTTTAAAAAGTGCTTAACTACTGTTCCCATTATTTGTGAGACATTGCTACAATTTACCATGCCAAAAAAAAAAAATCAGATATTATCTAGAAACAGAAATAGTAGATAAGTGACAATCTAGTCATGGAATAACACTACTGAACATTGCTTTCAGCAAATCTGTTTAACTGACTATAGAATAAAACTGAAAATACTGCAGCTAATCTTTCTAGCTGTATTGGGTGGGATATAAATAAGCAGCTACTCTTTTACCAGCTCGGTGATGCATAGGAAAGGTTTTTTTCTTAATATACAGTACAGGCAGCTTACTTTTTAGAAATAGTTATATGAATATTTGCCAGGTATAGCAAATGATGATTATTCATATTATGCCATTAATATGCCAACCTTCCCAAAAAAGGCTCAGGGAGGCTTACAATAAGAGAAACAGAACAACTCAAGGGGTAACTAGAATAAATAAAATAAACACAATAGCAAATAAAGCAAAGATCTATTAAACATCTCAGCCTAGCTTTAGTTGCTCTTGCTACACTTCTGAAAGACATCCAGGCTCCGGTTCTGGCGGGCCTTGAGAGGAGAGGAGTTCCAGAGCTGAGGAGCAACTGCTGAAAACAACCTCCTCTGTGTTTTTGCCAAGCAAACTTGGCATATTGATGGTACTTGTAGAAGATTGCTCTCAGCTGACCTTCAGGATTCGGAGAATCACAGAAAATGAGGGTGGAAGGGAGCTCAAGAGGTCACATCTAGTCCAACCCCCTGCTCCAAGCAGGACCACCCCAACTAGATCACTGTGACAAGATGTAAGGGAGAAGTAAAAAAACCCAGTCAAGATGCTGGCCTGACACTAATATGCTAGGACCATGACTTTATTCCTTGACTTAAAGAACTTACTTTCACAAGGAAGTCTTTCAGATGCAGCTTTTACCATAAAACTGCACCCATGCAATAGCAAGTTAGTCCAAACCAGCTTGGGAAATGAAGTGAAAGATGAGTAGATGCAACGAAAACTGCAATGTTTACCTTGAAGAAAAACCCCACTCCAGACTTCTGATCACTTTCGCTGATGATGTCTGTAGAGCTCCCTTGGCTTTCAAGGTCTCCTTCATCTGGGGCTTTTAAGTCAGACAAGTCTACTTCAATGAGATTTGCCTTGCTTCGCAGCGGTTCTTCCACTGGAACGTTTTCTTTTCCTGAGCCATCTGAAGAATTTAACCCGGCTTCTTTAAAATCACTGGTCACATCTTTGCTCATTTCAGAGATAATGTTTGCATCTTTGGAAGTGGAGAGACCAAATGCCCGTTGATTACTTTCGTCACGGAGTCTATAGCTGTCAAAGAAACACTTTTCTTGAGGGACACTTCCATGATCTGGACTATTTTCAAAACTAGTTTCTGTTGGTGTTCTAGATGGATTGCTAGATGGAAATGATCTTAAATGTGGTAGTGTTTCTATGCTTTGGGTTGGAGTTTTAATACGCGTTGCGTTTTGCTGTCTATCTTTAGCAACTTTCAAGTCAGCTGGTCTTCCTGAGCGAGGACTTCGTCCTTGACCAAATCGAGGTGGCTTACGAAGACTGCTCATTCCAGTTGGAGAAAGAGGCTCAACAAAATGAATGGATGGTTTTACCTTTTGGTCCTGTGAGTTACTTCTGGTACTGGGTGATGGTACTGTTGGAGTTTTCATAAGAAGTTCCTGTTGCTGAGAAATCTTTAATATAGCCTGCTGAAGCGTACTGATTGTTTCATTTAGCTTTTCAATTGAAAGATCACATTCATTAACGTCCACTTCAGCAACATTATCTTCTAGAAGAGCAGCAGAAATAATCTTGCTTTTTTCTATCTCATGTATAGCAGCAGATTCTTTCGGTTTGTGTTGCTCAGCGAAAGCCAAGTTTTCTTGCATTTTCGCTATTGTCACTTCTTGTGAATCAATAAACATTTCTTCTCTCTCCTCCTCTTTTGCAAGAAACTCCTCAGACTTAGAACTTAAGGAAACTTCATCTAGGTCTTCCCCACCGTGCCGAGAATATTCTTTTGGAAAGTGTTCTGGTTTAAGTGGCTGCGGGACATCAACAGGTTTCCCTTTTTTAACAACGTGCAAGAAAGCTGCCTTGCCCAGCTTCAGTCGCTGCCTAGCTGACAGAGCTTCCATTTTTTTCTTTTGAGCTTCTATTGCCCTTCGCTTCTCCTCCAACTGCATATGGAGTTGTACCAATTCAGAAGCCAAGACATTGACATTGTCTTTATGTTGCCTGTTGGGACTTTGCTCTCGCTTCTGTTTCCACGTAGTCAACGGTGCTGGGCAGCTCTCTGATCCATCTGGTGTGGTCTTCTGGGAACTACTTGTACTAGATTTTGTTTCATAACTGTTAAGTCTCTGGAGCTTCCGTTCTGCAAAGTTAGTCATTCTGACACTCCCACTAGTCAAAGACACGCTGCTAATTTGAGAAATAGTACTCAGGCATGGACTTGAACGCCCACTAGCATCATCCTTATCTTCATGTTCCTTCACCTTCATATCCTCCTGTAACTTTGCAGATTCCTCTTCCCCTATATATTTCGCAACTACTGGGTGGTCATCTACCATTACCATGTCCTGTTCAGCATCCTCTATATCTAGGAGATCTGAATCAGAATCATGTCTCACCATAGTCCATGTAGTATCTGGTACGTGTGCATTAATACCTTTCAAATAGTTGATATTTGCTTTGCTTGCAATGTCTTCATCAGATTTAGCAGCATGAAGAAAGAAGCCTCCAAAGGATTGCTCCTGAACTGAAGGATCCAAGCTGCTAGTAGCTAAAGGCCTAGAGACTTCTAATACAGCATCTGAGAGCGTCATCGAGTCTGCAGTACTAGGATCTGCAACTGTAGTGAAATCTGAACTAGATATTGGAGTAAAAGTCCTATTGAGATCATGGTCCCCATGACTGCTGCTTGCTTTCTTGCGAGACAAAGGCAAGTGTCCCTCATTTAGTCTCTTTGTTAAGAAACTCCTTTGTTTCCCTTCTCCACACTCATCCACTTTGTTGATTATTTGTTTCTCCTTTGCTGGTTTTAGGACTGCAGGCAATAAAGGCTCCAAGTAAAAACTATCTGTTTTGCTTTCCAAGGCCTCGCTTTGCGTTTTTGGAGACCACGTGGTTGCAGCTAGGGTGGGTGCCCTGGAGGATGTACTCGGAAGTTCAGGGACACCATGGCTTGGTGTTTCATCTGATTTGATTATTGCAACGAGTTCTTCATCCTCATCTTCTATTTCAACGTTGTTCAGCAAACTCTTTCCATTTGTTTTAACTGATGCAGCGTGAGGCTGGTGTTTTGGAGTTAGATTGATGATATTGGAAGCTAGACTGTCTTTGCTGATTGATCTAGCCAGGCTGATGCTATCGCCAGAACCAGGGTCCACCTCGCTACTTGTAGAATGATGAAGAGCAAATGGCGTTGGCTGAGACAGAGGCCTAGAAAAGACAGAGCTATTAAAAACAGCCTATGGTGCTAAAGCATAAGACAAGCTGGAATCTATTTAGCTATAGTGACTACAACGTATATAGCCAAAATCCACGCTCTATTTTGAGAGGAGTGGCCTGTATCAAGAATTCCTAGCAACAATGGATGGCAGCTTGAGATGCTTTTGTTTGAGGGTGAGTGATTGGCAGTTTCTGAAAGTTACTATACCCCTTTAAGACATCTCTACTCTCCACCCAAAAATCACTGACCACTTCTAAAATGTGCTAGCCTGAGGCCTGTCTCTAAATAACTCATACATGTTACTGCAACAAACTTCCCATATAATTTAAGCCCATTCTAGGCAAAAGAAGCTCTTGTATATATATTAAAAAAAAGTTAAAATAGAAGTTACCTAGGTTTTTTCTCTGGCCACGCAAGAACTGAACCTCGTGGCTGCCCATCAACTCGAGTCAAAGAATTAGAACGATGACGATGGCCTGGAATATTAGAAAAATACTTGAGAAATTTAGAAATGGCCCTTACACTTGCAATTTTACTCAGTTTAATAATGAATGCAAACTACTTCACCAACAGATGGCAGCAGAAAACAGGTAAACAGTACATAACAAAGCAGGAAAAATGAAATAAAGATCAATGCAACTGAAAAACACTGAAAAAAAACAGGCATGGAAAGTTAAAATTAGCAAACCTATTTATTTGTTTTACCTGAGATAGAATTTTTGTCAGTAAAAACTGTAAGTCCTTTATCGTTTGTTGTTAATAAGTGCTAAATCCAATTTTTCATCTGGGTAGAAAACCATTTTTTTAGTACCGCTTTAACCATTGTTTAAGACGCACTGGAATCTTGAATAAATTTGTTTTTGCTGATAGATACCTTATTTTTTAATCCATTCCCCAACATTTTGTCTACCTAAGAGCAATACCTTGTTTCTGTCCCGAAGAATTTAGGAAGTCAGGCCTATCTAAATTTCTTGCCCTGCGTACTTTAATCAAGGAGCAAGTTCATTTGTGTAACTAGTGATTGTGATAACACTTCGCAGGCAGAAACAAAACAAAAAACCCCCTCTTTCCTGAAGGATCTTAGCAATCCCTACAATAATGTTAGTATTTGATTCTGAAGCAGTCCAAAAGAAACTGAAAGTCTGCATTTAGACTGGTTGTCACTGAATTTATGAACTACTTAAATAACAAATCCCAACTTCTCTCTAAGTTCACTCATAAGTAGTTACTGAGGAAATTAAAAATAAGTGCAGAGTCATAATGGAATTTAGATTGTAACAATGCATATATTGACATGCTTGTAAATATGCCATATTATTTCCTGAAGATAAATACTGTCTCTACCACTTTGTGGTCAGCAGCTCTCCGAATGACATATCTCCATAACCAAACCTCAAGAGATCAATGCATGCAGTTTTACTGAACAGCAGAGCAAGTTGCCAAAAATGATACAACCCATCTCTGGAGATCTGGGAATGGGAGGACTCGACTCCTATGCCCTGTAGACCTACTAAGTAAGTATGCAGTCTAGGTCCTGCCAGAATGTAGCAGTGCTGGCAATCAAAGCACTTCTCAATGTGTCTATATCTTACAATTCATCATATTTTTAAGATATAAATTTAACCTCATCTGATAACTCAGTTTTTGAGTACTTTAGTATTAGTTAAATTGAAGCCTTTTAAAAATATAAAAGCAGCAAAAAGGCCTCCATTTAAATTGCACACATTTAAAGATCATACCACCATATACAACGGGTTCTAGTAGCTTTTTAAATACATAAATGCTCACGAAAGATTTAATTTTGATTCTCTAATACAGGAAAAACCAAACTTCCAGACAGGGAAAGGTGATCCAATGCAGAGTGGACCATCTGCTGACAAATTCAAGTGAAGACATACCTGAGCTATCTTCTTCCTGCAATGATTTTTGTTGCTTCTGTCTCAAGGGCAGCAATGGATGGGAGGGGCTAAAGGCAGGGGTCCCTTTGCCACTAGTTTTGAAAAAGTGAAAATAACAAAACAGTAAATCACTACCATGAGATTTCTTTCTAAAATGGTAGAAAAAAGAAACACAGGAGGAAAGACACACAGCAGGTGATAGCTTGGCCTTATAACAAAATGCCACTAAATATAAACCAGTGAAGGTGAATCTAAACCAATCATGGAAAATTAAGAACAAGATTTCAAACAGCATTAAAACTTTCCATAAACCATCCGCAATGTTTTCGTTTACCATGATCTTAAAATATACCTCATTTTAAAATACACTGGAGACAAATACCTATGCAACTGCTACAAAAAGAGAAAAGAAAGACCGAGTTAAACATATTACTTGACAGACCTCAGAACAATTTTAACCTTAACAGTACTTTACTTTTTAAACACAAGGGCTTAATTTAATCTTACACAGAAGAGAGGAAGAGAAAGTCGTAGAGTTGTAACCGAATCAGCTAGATATCATCACACTGAGCAGGCTATGAAACTAAAGAAACCATCCACAATGTGATCTGTGTTGGGACCAATAAACTTAAAAATATCTTTTAGGCAGAGAGAGGTAGTTAGCCATGCCAATCAGGCAGAAGGCAGGATAGATTTGCATCTTACAGACTAACTGAAGCAGAGATGCATAGTATAAGCTTTTGTAAGCAGTGGGATTACTTCACCAGAAACACCCATGCTTATGCTAAGCATCTCTGATTTAGTTAGCACATAAGGTGCAAATCCACCCTGCCTTCTTTATATAAGCAACAATCAGTCATCAAGCAAGAAGGTACAAGGTGAAAGTGATCTGCCATGCTGTAGTAGTGGCCACCCTGTGGCAGGGGTGCCACAAGTAGCATGAGCAGCCTGTGTGTGTGGCACTGGAAAGGGGGCATTCAACACAGCAGCAGATAGGACAGCAAGCAAAAAAAAAAAGCAAAAAAACAAACCCAGCCAGGAGATCACAGGGAAGAGAGCAGAAAGCAGAGCAGCAGATAAGGCAGGGGGAAGGGGATCCAAGTGACACTTGGGAAGGGTATAGGGCTAATTTGTGGCATGCCTGTCCAAAAGGTTGGCCCAAAGTACTACAGCAAATGTTGTTTGTTGCATCAAAAGACCAAAATAATAGGTTTTTTAAAACAAACCTATAGTCCACAACTGCTGTTTCTTAATTACTTGATGGAAGGAATTCTCCTAGACCAACAATTAGAATATTTCTTATAACTTAGTGGATTCAAGCTGAATTAATGACTCTGGGGAAACACTACCTTGTCACTGTCTACAATGATGAGTAATCTTCTGCCTAATGTGCAGGAGTAGAGAAAAAAGATAAACTGTTTGACAATAGAAGTGGCAGTGGAAAATACTGCCATTGGTATCAATGCTCTAACTCAAGAAGGATACAGCAGAAATAAAGGGAATTCAGAGACTAGTACAGAAAATGAGGAGTAAAGGGAAATAAATGCCCATATGCTGCAAGACTGACAAGAAAACTGTTTTTAGAGAAAGCAGGGAGGTATGATAAAGTTGTATAACATAACAGGGAGGCCAAAAAGGGGGTCTTTTTACCCACCTTGCATAATTCACAAAGAAGGGAATACTGAAAAGGTTGAAAGGCTACAACAGTAAAACTGAAAAAGGAACTCTTACACAATTACCCTATGGCAAAAGCATAATGAAATTCAAAAAAGGACGGGACATTTATCTGACTGCTCAGATCATTACGCAGGTTATGGTTAGAAAGGTTAAAAGCCAGGATATAAAACAAACGCACTTCAGAGCACCAGCCAATTTCTGAAGCAATTAAGAAACTTCCCCTGCAAAGTAGGTTATTGTTAAACAGCTCACGTCGGGGTCCTCACACCTCTCTCAGAAGCAGGTCATACTGGCCACTGTGTGCGAGACAGGATAATGTGCTGGAGGAGTTAACTGGTCTGCTCTAGTATCCACATACTTTTACTTGTGTCCTGATCAATTAACAGGCAGAAAAAGCATTATCCTTGATTTTGTTTGGGCTAATAAGCTCCTGTTACAGAGCTGATACATTAGTATTGCCCATTCCCCCTCTCACTGAGTATTTCTATTACCTAATACAAGGGCTGTCAACCAAAAGCAGGAGGTCCCATGTTCTCATAGAGGACAGAAATTAGTAGCACTCTGTTCCATGAACAACTATGTATACTGCAACTGTTGATGATAAAGGCTTCTTGATCCCAGAGTTTCCAGTACAGTAAAAGCTGCATTATCCGGCACCCACAGGGAATGGAGGGTGCCAGATAACAAAATATGCTGGATAACTGAGCGGCATGAACAGGCATCATCGCCTGTTCGGGCCACCACCTGTCCTGCCGCGCCTGGGGTTAGCAGAACACACTTCCAAATTTTATCAACAATGGAAAGTAAGAGCTCAAGCCTAGTAGGTAGGCTCATTGTTCAAAATTCTCTCACTTCTGCTGTCTATGCAGTGGACTGATTTGACTTTGGGGATTTTTTTTGGTTTTTTGTGCTGTCATTTATACAGCACGGTAAATCTTCCATTGCAGAATTGTTTTCCGTACTCTAATTTCTCAATTGAACAAAACGAATCTAACTTCTGCTATGACCAGAGACGACCATAGCAGGGTGCGGGGCCCGGGGCAGATCAGCCTGTGTGGGGCCCAGACATGGCAGCGGTGGTAGCAGCAGCAGCGGGGGAGGAGGAAGGTGGCGAGCAGCCGGACGCAAAGCCAGCCCAGCTCTGCAGGGCCCCCCCCCACAAAGCACGGGGCCCGGGCCAGTCACCCTGATTCACACCGCCAGGGACAGCCCTGGCTATAGGACAGTGCTAACAACATTAGATTATTCATTCATGGCAAAGATATGATACACATCACTTTCCTCATGAGAACTGGGTACATTTTAGAAACTGGGTGAAAGAAGCTTCATCTCTCATTTACTGTAACAAAACCAGGTAATTTGGGAACAGCAGACATTCCTAGATTACCCAAGTGGAAATGCAAGCAAGATAATGGATATAGAGACAGACTTACAGATATTCAGATTCTTCAGGGTGCAGGTAATACCTGTTGCAAGCTTCTGGTGGGAGCTGAATTGAAGGCTGCAGGTCTGCTGAACTGGTATTAGCTGGACTAGCCATGAAACTTCGTTTGGTTGCATTGGAAATAGGAACAGGAGGACGACTGCTCTTCTGCTGCAATACCGTTTTAGCTGCACACATATATATACTGTTACCAAGAAGGATTCCTATAAAAGCATACCAGACTAGCACAAGATCTTTCTAGGCTGAAGGCAGGTGCTCAGAGTTAAAACTTCTACTTTAAATTTCACATTAGGTTTTGTAACTTTTACAAAAAAGAGTTACTCAAAATACAGGATAACCTTAACCTTTAAACTTAGATGCAAAAATCCTGAGGACATGATAGGGAATCGTAGGGGGCGGGGTGGGGGGAGGGAAATCAGACAAGCTAGGCCAAACTAAAATAGTGGCATTTTAATTAACACTAACAATTTGTGGATGAAATAATCTAAGTGCATCTGAAATGCATGCTATAGTTGAATCCAAGTCTTCTGAAGCGGTAATACTCAATAGTTACCCAACGTATTTTTCACACCATTTGGAGTCTCAAAAGTAAAGCAGCCATTCTAAATTTTAAACTGATATAAAGATGCCTGAGAAAAGTGGTATCAATTTCAATAGTTTCAGCCAAAAGGGGATTAGTGCTTCTACTTTTATTCATTTATCTAAAAAAGTCACTATTTTCACTTATTTCTGTACACATTTTTCATCACATCTTCAGTACAAGTTACTCAGCCTAACTTGGGAGCAGTCAGAAACACTCAACACAAGCTGTACAGTGCGATTTGATTAGCAGCTGATGCCTTGTGCTTAAAAACAGTAAGCTGTAGTTGTGCCCTCATTCACTTATTAGCTCAAACAGCAGGTGTACTTGAGCTCAAGCTGCAGCCCAAACCTTGTGATAGACCAGCTACCATGAGTTAGAGCACCATTTTGCTGAAACTAGAGATTTGTGAGTATGGGTAGGAATAATAGTAATAGGAAAGGGTGCAACTCAGCCGCACACAGCTGAAGTCACGCACCTAAGGGCCATCAGGAATTTATGCTACACACTGGAACCTCATCCATCAGAAATAAAACTAAGCTGAAAAAAGACTAGGGTGTATTAGCTGATTACAGGAGGCTGAGCAAGAGTGATGAGCATGATAGAGTGATGAAAAAGGCAAATTTGTAGATGCATCACTCAAGTTATTTCCAGCAAAGATAGAAGTATTTTAATGAACACCTTGCTGGGGTCGTTTGACCCCAGTACTCTTTCCTGCCATGGCAGGGGGTCGGACTCGATGATCTGCTCAGGTCCCTTCAGACCCTAATAACTATGAAACTATAAACTGAAACTATAATGTCACTGTACAGGGAACTCACGAGACCTCTTCTCGAACATGGCATACAAGACTGGTCACCCATGCTCTGGTTGGAATTAATTTGTCATGAATAGATGCAGAGCAGGGCTAACAGATGATCAAGAGAATGGACAGCTTATCATACAGGAGGGTTTGGCTTGATTAGCTTAGCAAAACAAAGGCTGAGAGGGGGTACAACTGCTCTTTATATGAGGGAAATGCAAGGGGAGGGATGAAAAACTAGTTAAGGCAAAAGATAATGCTGACACAAGATACATGGATATAAGACTGGCCACAACTAAATTTAGGCTGGAAATTATAAGGTTTCTAAACATCAGAGCTGTGAGATTCTGGAAGAGCTTTCCAACAAAAACAGTGGAATGAAAAAAATTCTAGGTTTAAGATAAGAGTTTTAGTAGTTTATAAAACAGATGTTACAATATAGATGTTTGCAGTAGCAGGAGATTGGACAAAATAACTGAGGAAGTCCTTTCCTACCTAACAATTCCTTTTTCTTTTACCAAGTTTGAAAATGAACCTCTAAAGCAGTACGAATGAACAACCAATTTAGCACCTCTTCCCATGGAAAGCGTCAGGAGTTTAAAAGGTATCTGTTTTTTAAAGATTCTGAAGCTGTTAGAAGGCAAATGATACAAATACATATATTTCAATCCACAGCTTGATCAAGGAGCATTTTTTTCCTTCATATTTTTCAAAAGGAAAAACAATCATTGGAAAGAAACTAAACAGAAGAGGAAAAAGTTCTGCAAAATAAACTGTTTCATTACAGTTTATACACAGTAAAAGCTTTGTTATCTGGCATGAGCAGGGTAAAGGGGGTGCTGGTTATCTATAAATTACAGTTACTTGAGTGTTATACAGAAGACAGTGACACACCTGTAGTGCAAACACTTGATGTGCATGCGCAAGCCGGAGAGACTCAGCAAAGATTCCGGTTGCTAAAGTGAGGATTTGTATTGGGGGATATTGGAAATCCCGGTGAATAGAGTATTCCCCTGAGTAAAATGCAGGTTAACACTGCTTTTACTGTATTAGTAAATGTCCCCCACCCCTCTCCCCAGCTCAAACACTAATATCAACCTAAAGTTAAAGAATCTCACCATCTTTTATTTCTTGAATGTCCCTGGGCTGTACGAAGTCTGGCTTGACGTTCTCAAACCACCAGAATAGTTCCGCAATGAAAACCATGACATTGGGCTACGAAAACAAAAACCAAAAAACACATCACCATTCACGCTAATGGCTTCTCTTGTATTTTGCATAAAAAAAGATTAATTCAACCAGATGCCTCACCTTTAGAACTAAAGGAGCATATAGCATGTCCTCTAATGTGAGGTAAAAACATTTATTTAGATATTCGTTTGAGAATTCTTTCAGAAGCTGAATATTATAGAGGCTGTCTGCAATTGAGGTTACCTCCTTCAAACAGATATCTGGAGGGAGACACAAAAATGAATGAATTAAATAAAGGATCACCATATATTGCACAGCTACTGTAAGTGATAAGTATGGAAGAAATGAAATCCCACACTAATAGTACGGTTATAAGAGACCCTGGGTCAGAAGACCACTTGCATTTTTTTGACAGAATACCTTTGGGCCCACATAGAGATTTATCTATCTGCAGCTAAACAGACCTTGAAACTATCCCTGTATCAGCATTATGGCTGTTCAAACCCTCTAAAAGAAGAAAGGAGAAACAACAAGGATTTCCAGCACAAAAACCTGAAGAATCCTAAGAAAGACTCATCAATTGATCCTAAAGTGAAGCTAATCATCAAAAGGAAACACTTAGTGTTACGGTAAAGTAAAAGGAAAGCCAAAAATCATAGACAAAACACAAATGATTCTGTATTCAGTTTGACCTCTGATCTAAACAGGAACTTGGAAATGATAGACAAAATCTAAAATAATGGAAGCAAAATGCACATAAACATAACAAAACACTTCCAGAGCAACAGCCTTAATTTGAAGAGAAAAAAGAAAAGGTTATTTCCATTATAAAATGCCACAACCCCTCTGAGTGTTTTTTAAAAAAAGCAACATTTAAAGATTATAGCTTTGAATGCCAGATGATTGCATCACCATCCAGTCTATCACACTTTACAAACAGCTGAACTTTAATCTGCATTAATATGTTTGTATACTATCAAAATTACACAAAAATACCTGTCCTTTTTACATCATTATTTTCCTTCCAAAAACGCATTTAGGATTCAATAAGATTTGATATGGTACATTGGCAGGCTCTCACATTTTATGACGTGTTTGTAAATGCCTGATACTTTCATGACAATCTATTTAAAATATCCCTCTTTTTTCTTAAAATACATTTATTAAACAGGGATCAAATTCACACTACATCTTGAAGAATAGTTCAAATGAATGAACAAGACAAGAAATGATTAAACATATCATGAAAATAAAGCACAGTTCTCTGCTACCTTGCGTTTTATGTAGTAATGTATGTCTGTGGAAAGCAAAAATGTTGCAGATATCAACTGACAGCTGTTGTACTCCTACATCTTTTCCTAAAATGGAATTTGACCCCAACTTATTTTATTATGCTGTAAAAAGGAAAAAAAATTATTCCTGGATTTACGAAACAAAATAAAGATGAATTGCTGAGATTATTAAATATAGGATAAATTTAGTTACTCATCAAAATGCATTTGCGAAGCAAAGTCACGTACCAAAGGAGGCTCTTTTTTGGAATACAAGTTACGGATTATATGAACAAGTTATTTCTTGTTAATATAGATCCATCTATATCTATGAGACCTTATGTTTATTTATCTATACATCTATCTCTATCTCTATATAGATATATATCTATTATCTGACTATATGTTTCTAACTGAGTTTTTTCAAAGTGAAATACGTTTTGAAAGAATCTTCCCATACCATCTAGCTTCATTTGTTCTGGACAATAGTAGTGTATGACAGCTAGAAGAGCTGCACCATCGCTGCCATCCTTCATGAGATCTTCAAGCATAGGGAAGTACGGTAATTGCCTGCTTGAAAGATGATCTCGACGATAACGAACCTAAATAAAGACAAGCAGTTGCATTACGCTAATAAGAATTGCTATGCTTTCATAAGTACTCAATTTCCCTATGGCGCATCTTTAAGCTGTTAATTTCAGTTAATTCTCTTTTCTCAACAAAAGTCAAATTTAACAAGCACCACTCTTCCTTTTTAAAGATCTACCCCTAACTTTTGAAAGTAATTCATGCTGCCCAAACCAAACTGCACCTGTACAACAGCTTTTTGTTGTGAAAGTAAGATCATAAGTCCTCCATTTAGAGACACAAATGCAAAATATTGACTCCAAAAGATAAACGTTACGCCCAAGCCACTTCACATTTGAACAGCAGACAAGATGCTTCATTATGGTTAGGGTATCAGCCTTCTATTTGTTACCTACTCTCAAACCAAATCTTTCTTAATATGTACACAAGCAGCTAAGTCAAACTTCACTTGAAGTTGAGACAGGACACCCCATGCAGCAGCACCAATATAAACTATAATTTTGCACAGCAGAAAAACAAATTAAGAAATTTAGGCCACTGCTTTCAGTGACAATATTCCAAGGGACTTCATCATACAAAAGGTTCAGGCAACACTGAGCATTTCCAAGAACCCTACCCTAAAGACTTTAGAAAGTAGCAGGTAATTTTGAAAAAAGTCCAACTAAAAAGGGGAATAAACCATTAGGAATGGCTTGTTTTTCAAAAGAAATTAATATTAACTTGAAATAATTTAAATAAGCTACATTCTAAGTTAGCAGGATGCCTCAGCAGTTCAAGAATTTGTTTTTGAGGTTTTAACTACAGCATGGAGTGACAGCACAAATGAACACACACTATGGAGCTTAGCAGAATTAACTTTCAGAATGGGAAAATAAGACTACAGTCATACATTTAGTGCATAAACATCAACCAGTGTTTGAGAAGCTATTTATCTAATCCTGTAATTTGCTCTAATATGCAGCTTTACTCTACTGAAAATACATAGATAATGCATTTATTTTTAAGAACTACTTGTTTTTACGAATATGTTCTAGAGGATACTAACACAATTTGTAAGGCAGCTCAGAAAAGTTGTCTGTCTCTACATACACACACACACACAAGCATATAATTTAAGAATGGCACAGGCTGAGACAAATTCTGTCCAACTGAACAAAAGTCATTCAGTAACAAAGCAGAATATAAGAAATCAACTATCATATACTTGATTTCAAATTATGCTTTCGAAATTTGCATATTTTATTGTAAACTAAAGATAAGTGGCTCTGTAAGAAAAAAATATGTCTGTTTATGAAGAGGCAAACATTTGTTACACTGTAGCAAATTTGCTGTTTGAATTTGCCATCTTAAATTTTGGGGTGTATGTTTTCATTAGGTGCAGATCGAGCTTCTCCCCCAGCCTGGATCACTCCTTAAACATGTAATGTAATGTGATCATACTGTACCACACGAGCATATTCCACTGGTTCCAGCATGCAGTGTGATATGGCATGCATCAGATCAGGCTTTTACAGAAAGAAATAGTAAGATACACAACGATGATTATTCAAAGTCATGAAACAAATAAAATGCGTTATCATCCACTGTGCACTGAAAATGATTGCTGCAACAAAAGAATGAGCATCTATACTAAGGTGATCTGGTTAGTTTAAAAAAGTATTTACACATTTAGTAGAATTAAGCGGTTTAAAGATGAACTTCAAAGACTTCTCTTTAAACCTAAGATTATTAAAAAGGAAAAATATTTATACTCATTTTAAATGTAGTGCCAACCGAAGTTTAAATGAAATTTAAGCCAATCATTAGCCAATCCTGAGGATTACAGCTGTGGAGTTCCTGCTTCCTTTACTGGAATGAAAAAAAAGTTGCATTCACCAAAAAGGTTTAAGACCCATTCCATTTAAATCCCTATTTTTCAATTGATTTTTCTGCTAAACACCTGTCTTTTGTGTTTAAACTTCAGACTTTCAATCTACAGTGGAAAATGGCTTTATAAATTTAAGATGCATTCATAAATTTGGGTTACGGGGCGCCAATCTGTGCAGTCAACTGAAAAGGAAGGTACTTTCTAAATGCTGAATGATGGGTGATTTTGTTCTCAGCAAGAATAAGTGCCTTTAACAAGATTGGAGAAATCTGGCTGACACCGAACAACTAAAGCAACAAAAGTGAGACAGAGGGAAAAAAATCAGATGGCAGCACGGTCCAGGTTGGTAGTAAACCAGCACAATCAGTGAAGGCCACGGCCTGGGAATCAGACCTCAATTCTATTGCTTGTCTGTCACTGACTTTGGGCAACTCACTTCCACTCTCCTCCTGTTTCTCCCTCCGCTCAGAGGCTGTCTTACCAGTTTAAATTGTACGCTCTTTTGGGTGTGCATTTGTGCCATGCATAATATCAGTCGAATCTCAACTGGTGCCTTTAGGCAGTAACAAAGATACAAAAAAGATCAGAAGTAAGTTTTTGACCACTGACAGGCTCCTTCAGAGCAGTCAGACAAGTCATATGCATGGGCCTCCCTGCAATTCCTTCCTTTATCTAAAATACTGAATCAGTTCAATTCAACCCATACAGTTGGGTCAAACAAAGAGATCTGAGTGACAAGCCTAGACTGGGGGACTGCTAATTTAATCCTCTTCCTCCCTTTCCAAATTTGGGTCACTTTCCAGTTTACAACCAAACCCATGCTTTCACTCCTCCTCCCAGGTCTAAAAAGAACAATATGGCAAATCCAGCAAGAGAGAAGGGAGTGATGACATGGCCAATTAAAATTTGGAAGTAGTACTGAACCTCAGAAAGGCCAAGTACAACTTGGTACCCCAGTCAGAGGCAAGCTTCTATAGCACATGCTCAATTTGATTAAAACCCCCACACCTTTGTTTCTTCTACAAGCCTTCTCTACACTTCATCTGAAATATATGAAATCTCTCCTTTTTGGGGTACTATCATGTTAATTCTCTCTCCCAACTAGACTAGCTATAACTGAACAAACTCACCATGGGTGCAGTTCAGCTAGTCATAACAACATAGAACTCAAGTGTTAACATCCCATCTTGTACCCCAGCCCATTAGATAATCGGGTCCCATCTTTCCTGTGCTTAAAAATGAAATAAAAAGCAGTCATAAAAAGGGGCACGGGGGGAGGGGAGGCCTCAAAAACTTCTGTTACCTAGATAAGTACTTGATTACAGCAAAGCTGTAATCAGTTTTATAGGTAAGAGCCCGAGGAATTTATCAAATGGATTACTGCAAAAATGATCTAAAATACAGCTTGAAAGATGAACAGCCTATCAAATTTAAACTGACCAGCTTTTAATATCACCTTAGTGTTGTAATCAATTGCCTACAGAGGACAAAAACAATACACAGTCTTTCCAACCACCACGAACTTCCTGTAATCCTGCCTCTTCCCATCCCACACTCTGCATTACAAGTTCTGAAGTGCTGTTGAGTGATTATGCTGTATGTACAGTATGTAAAGTTGTGTTACGGAGACTAAACTCGATGCCCAAAAACCATAAAGCAGAAAGGCTTTCAGCGTTCTTCTCTAAGCAGCGTTTTAATGGAAGCAAACACCAAAGAAGTTCAAAAGCCATGATTTTGTGAATGACAACTGGTGTAAAAGTAGTTCACTTACAGGTACTAATTTCCAATACCATTTGGAAGGAGACTGCTCAGGAAAGCAAGGAAAGGAATGTAGGAATAGGAAAGGAACATCAGCAGAACAAGTTATAAGCAATAAAACTTGAATGCACTTAAGCAATAAACACTTTCATATATCAGAGGAAGTTTAATCAAAGATTGGTTTTAAAAGGTTACAATAATATTTAAAAAACCTTAAAACTTTCAAATGTGAGCCATATAGTTAACCATCCTCAATACCACACATTTATAAATGTATAACTGCTCACAAGTCCTTCTAAATCATGCAGGTTATGCTGTACCTAAGGACATAAAAAACCCACATTTCCTTTTTATGAAACTTAAATATTTGTCACAATTACATAGGTTGTGCGTCTTTGCTGAATTGTGCCAATTTGAAAGGTGAGCATTATGCATCTTTTTTAAAACACCTTTAAGCTGCAGCTTGCTCCTACCAGCATCAAATTAATTTATATTTGAGGAAAGTCTATTTTATGTTCTCCAGTAATGAAAGTGTCCTATATTTTTGCAACATCAGTGCATTGTGACATAAATTTGAGGGGGGTGAAGGGATAAGGGAGGGAAATGCATGCATAAATTACCATCTGAATGCTTAGAGCATGCTTATTAGAGTTGGATTAAACCCCTGGTATGTCCATTGTATAGTTAGCATATGCACAAGAAATCTGCCTGAAAGACTTCAAAATACAAGATGTACATTTTGTTCTATTAAAACTGAATTCCCACTTACACAAAGCATTCAAAGTTTGAACAAGTTATTTCACTGTAAATCATAATTTAGTGGCAAATCAAAAGGTACTACTGGGAAGAAAAGTAAGAAAGGATAATGAAGATAACACAAAACAAACCACATACAAAGAATCTCACAGGAGTGAGTTTCACTGGCTAGAATACCTCCCCCCTATTCATTTTATAAGGAGTAGCACTGAATGCATGTATATCCAAAACAACAGCAGGATTTCAGTTTTAATGGAAAATATCCAAAATACAGCAGTCAGGCAGTTAATCATCTTTTACCTTTTGGTGACCTGGGCTTTCCATTAATTGCTGTTTTAATTTGAACTCTTTCTCTGTTATTTCTCTCATTTTAAGGTTAACCTAAAATAGAAAAGATTAAAATATAGCTGCATTTCAATTTTCAGAAATTTTGCAACTGAATAAGCAATCTTTATTACCCACCATTCCAGATATAGAGAAGTCTCTTACAAAGTCCTAGATTTTCTAAGAAAAATCTTGAATCTGTTTTTCACTTATAAAAGGCGTAAATCATCAAAACTGACATAAAATTTTGTAATCCAATTAAATGCTGAGTTCCCCTGACATCCCACTGAAATCACAGGAATGTACGGACATAGTTTTACAAAAACAAAAGCTACTATTTTAAAGAAATATTCTCCAATTAGTAACTTCTATAATTACACAATTCCTTCCAAAATACGTACCAACATTTATTTGAAATAGCTACGTACATGTTGATTACTTAGCCAGAGGGAAAGGGAGAAGGGGAGAAAGCAATGATCAAGCCTTTTTACTTGATCAACAATTACTTTTAGAAGCAACTACTTGTCCATTCTAACTGTCAAAGTTACCTTATTAATCCAGAACACCATTGCATCTTCCAGATCATAGGGTAGTTCCTTTGAGGCACTGAATGTAGAAAACCGTTTGACACTAGCAACCACCTTTTCGATGCTGATCATTTCTACAGTGTATGCCATCATCAGAGCATCAATCATTGCCATATGAGAACCCTAAAAAGGCAAACACAAAATAGTCGCAGTGTTTCACACACCTCAGACTATCAACGTTTTAAATACTCTCTCTATTCACAATACGCTTCCATGAAAAACTGCCGAGACAAGTGACCTAGAAGTGAAAGCTCTTTACTTCATTATCTATCCCCCCCACGCCAAAACTAGCACGGTTTTATAAAAATAGGGATGGATTTAATTAAGCTAACCATTTTGATTGGTGCAGAGCCAAGATCAGATTCAGACACAGGTGTATCATCACTCTCCATGACGTAAATCCCTTTCCGAGACAGAGCCTGACTCACTGACTGGTGTCCCTGCAGAGAAGCCACCTGATCCCCTTTCAGGATGAGGCTACAGACACGACAGTACAGCTCGCTGGACAACAACAGCTTGATGACAGGTGGCTTAATATGTTCTTGCTCATACTGATCTATGTAAAATGGGTCCTTCAGCTCTTCTGGGATATTATCTGAAACAAAAAGAAAGGGTTTCAACGTAGTGGAGTCAGCTGTAAGCGAAAACAAACCCTCATACTTCAAAGCAACACATGAAAGAGATAATATTATACGTTAAAATTAACTGGATGGCATAGGTCAGGCAATGCAACCAAAAAATTAAGGCATTAAATACAAAGCATTTTACAGCCAAATGGTTTTCAGTGACACTCAACGGCGTACATTAGGTTCAAACGGCTATCCTCCCCTCCTTCTATATATCTAATACCTAATAAAAACAATACATTTCTAGCTGTCTTTCAAAGGGAGGTCAACGCAGTGCTTCTGTGATTAAAGAAGCTCTCTGAAAATGTTACGTAGATAGTGATTAGTACTGAAATGTTTACCCTGAAAAAGCTAAATAAAAAGTAACTGCAACCCATCTATTCAGAACATGTAGACTACAGGGGGCCGCATACAGCAGGTGCACAGAACACACTGTTTCAATGTAAGATGATGAGTTAATTCAAGCAGCATCCACAAACAGATGCTTAGAATGAAATGTTTCCACTTTAAACTGTGTTAGAGCATGCTCCATTGTTTAGACCGTTTGGCCGCACATTCACACATGAAAAAAAGAGAATCAAAACATTTATGCCTGGCTGTAAGTGTTATGAAGGAAAAAAGATGTCAAGTTGAAACAGGAACAGTTATCAAGAAAATGTGACATCTCTGATAAAACCTTTAGCTACTTTTAATGTTGTTCATAAAATTGATTTGTCTCCATTTGGTACCGTATTCGCCTTGACTGTCTGGATAATGAAGACAGCTACTGCTCTTTCAGCATTTATATAAAAATATATGAAGAAACAGTATTCAATCTGGATTTCTAATAAATGATCCAATCAGCATGAAGCAACATGTCAGTTCTACATTTCATATTTTAAGGTCTTCAAAAATGTAAACATGGCATCCCAAGCATAACCACTTTCCCACTTTTCAAATGACAAATGTGGAAGATTTTGGCTTTGTCAGATCCATGGTTTTTTTCTCTCCTAAAACGGTCCATCCACCTTTGCTGCACACACAGAGAGACAAAGCGCCACTGACCAATATTCTGTCCATTTTGCCGATGCAGGTCTACATTGCAGTACAGTATGCTTAAAATCATCACTGCTATCTCAAGTCCTACTTATATCAAAACTTCTGCTACCAATGGTGACTTCGAGTGGTCATAAAATAGCTGAAAACAAGATAACAGTTCTAATTTATACACAACCTCTGTGCTGTTACTGCAGTAATATAAAACCAATAATTTACATCATTATGTATTTCATTTTAGAGCATTTTACCTATAAATCTAATTACCAGATAGATGCTAATAGTTTTCCACAACTTGGCAGTAAGAATGATAGTCTCTGGCCCCTGTGCTGGTATCCAACTCAATACACTTCTTGTAAAGTCCAGCATTTCATGATTTTTAAATTCAGATTTCATTTCCAGGTTATTTTACTCCCTGTGAAGTCTTTCCCCATGTTCAT